AAAGTGTTCCTATTTCTCCACATCCTCTCCAGCATCTGTTGTCTCCAGATTTTTTAATGATCACCATTCTAACTGGCATGAGATGGTATCTCAATGTTGTTTTGCATTTCTCTGATGACCAGTGATGATGAGCATTTTTTCATGTTTGTTGGCCAAACTGCATGGGGTAGGTGGCATTATTCTCACTTTACAATGAGAAAACAGGTTTGGGGACCTTAAACCCATGTTTTTCTTACTGCACTTCTGCTTCCACAGATATGGGTGATAGTCTCAGGGCTCGTTGGCTACAGAGGGAAATTGTGTCTCAATAGTCCCAATTAGCCACAGGTTTTATTAGTCCTTATGTTTCCTTGGTATTTTCTAGCCATCTATTACTATTGTCATTGCTGTTACAGTGACTCACTCTAGCAACCTTTTCCCCTCAACCACCCTTTTCTAACGCGCAGTATCTCAGAAAGGTCACCAGCCTTGTTAGAACTTTGGGTAAGAGGGACGTTGAGCTAAGGCGGTGGTGATAGTGCTGGTGGGGGTGGAGGAATTGAGACTTGAATGGGGAATCCGGCATTCTGAGGAGTCTTATAGGACAGGGTGCTGGACATTTTCAATATTCTAGGCTAGTTTACCTCAACACATCCTATGACAACAGAAGGGGTTGGCTTATATACATGAATAAGATGAGAGAGACATGTAGGTAGGTGTGCATATAAAGAAAAATTGCAGTGGAGAAAGCATCTTATTTTTCATAGATCATGGAGAACACTGAAGAAACGTCAAAGTGAACCAAATCATTGTTTTTATTTTACAAAGGCAGAAAATGAAACACCATTAGGTAAAAGAATTAAAAATTTAATCCTTTATTTCCTAAATGAAATGCTTGTGTAACCTGTCATATCATGAACCTGTCTTAATCCACTCTGCTGCAAGGCGTCTGTGTTTTTGTAATTGTGTCAGCCCACCGGCAACTGCTAAGTAGGGGATGCCAGTATAATTCGGAAGTCACATTGGCTCAGCATGACTCTCCCCGGAAAGCTGATGTGCTGAAGCAACCAGAGACAAATGTTCACACACCCAGAGAGAAACCCTAAGGGACAGATGAGGATCTTATGAAAAAGGATGAAAATCCTTTAAGTGCAAGGAGTCGCTGGCTCAGTGGCCTTCAAAACCACCTCATTCGTGCTCTGTTGATGTATCTGAGAAGCTGCAAGTACAGATGAAAACACTAAGACATTTCACCTGGCAATTAGAAAAAAGCACTGACTGGCTGGGCATGGTGGCTCACGCCTGTAATCCCAGCACTTTGGGAGGCTGAGGCAGGTGGTGATGAGATCAGGAGTTCGAGAACAGCCTGGCCAAAATGATGAAACCTCATCTCTACTAAAAACACAAAATTAGCCAGACATGGTGGCAAGTGCCTGTAATCCCAGCTACTTGGGAGGCTGATTCAGAATGGCCGGGAGGCGGAGGTTGCAGTGAGCCAAGATCGTGCCACTGCACTCTAGCCTGAGTGACAGAGCAAGATTCCGACTTAAAAAAAGAAAAAGAAAAAAAAAGGGCACTGACTGATGGATACCTCTGTATCATTCTTTCAATACTGATGAAAATGCTTTCTACTAGAAGTGATTTCAAGGATCTCTCTCTCAAAGGAAGAAACAAAACCCCAAAAGTTTAAGACTGCAAAAGATGGACTAATTCTAGGTGCAAATGCCAGTGGAAATTTAGGATTGTTACTGTACTACACAGGTTACAAAGTTCCAAATGTATTTTTCCTTGTAATTTTTAGTGCATGATTTTGCAGAATGCAGTTTTCATCTTTTTAGGTGCAACATTAAGAACTGGTTCAGTCAGAACAATTTTTAGTTTCTCCAGTTTTTTCTACCCGAGTAACATGGGAAAAAAAAGAAAAAAAAAAGCAATAGTAACTTGAAGAAAGTGTGAAAATAAAAGTCTTGGAGCAGCAGAAAGGTCAGGCTGGTAAATGTCTTA